TAAATAATATTATTAAATATATTAAATAATAATATATTAAATAAATAATATTATTAAATATATTATATAAATAATATTATTAAATATATTAAATAAATATATTAAATAAACATATATAATACAAAAACGATTAAAAGAGGGAAGAAAATGAAAAAAAAAAAGTGAAATCTGTTTTCAGAAAACAGAAAACGAAAACGAGAAAATGAAAACACATTTTTTTTATTTTCTGATTTCCACAAAAAGACAAAAACGATTTTGGTTTTGTTTTTTAAAAAAATTTGCACCAAATACGTTTTTAATACCCGTTTTTATTTTTTTGCTTTGAAAACCGTAAAAAATGAAAATGAAAACACAAACAAACAGGCCCATAGTTTTAAGATCAATCTATTGGCTTACCTAAAGGCTTTTTACTCTCAGAATCCTGTTAGGTCGAAAGAAGAGATCTAATCCCTTGTTTGGTTAGTTGAAAGGAGAGGTGTCAACTTTACATTCCATCAGTAATTGGAAAAAATGAAAATAGTCTAGCATAACTTTTACAAAAATCAATTTCGCAACCAAATCACAAATTTTGCTATTAGAGACAACAAAAAAGTGTTTCTTCTTTAAGCAAGGTTTCGTCGCATATTTTGAGGCCATAAAATTACATGTTGACTGGTAAGGATATCATTAAGATTTTAAGAGACGTTTAGTTCATGAATTAAAATCATGTGATTAGAACTATTTTTAATTTATGTGTATTTTTGTAAAAAAATACTGTAGTGAACCATGAACCATAAATCAAATCATAATTTTGAATCCTCCAACTAAATGTATCCTTAGTTTTCTAACTCTAAATCGACTTGGGTCTGTTGTTGACTTCTTTACAATTGTTTTGCCTTGATCATTCCTAAAATACTTCTGTCGCTCCACTTTTCCATCTTCTCTTTCATTTTCCCATAGAGCAGGACTTAAAAACCTTAACAAACAGCAAAATTTTAGCATTATTAGAATATTCTAATGTTGTCAAGTAACCTATATGCTTACTAATTCCCAGCTATTAACTATAGCAAGTCCGACTCCAAGAACAAACAAAAAAAGGAGAAAGCAAAAACAAAAAGGGAAAATAAAACAAATAACTCTTAGTGCACACTTCTACATTTTTATCCTTTACTCTTAATTAATATCGTTTTTAATCAAATACTATATTAGCCAAGAGGGTATTAATCAAAGAGTAAGGGATTAAAAATCCACTCATGTTAGAGCAAGTTCAGTAATTTTATAAAAATAAAAACAAAAAAGCCTGCTCTAAGTGATTCTCACCCACCCTCAAGAGCTAAAGACGACAAAAATTAGTAATGAACACTCAACTATAGCAAGAAATCAAAAGCACCGAGCTCTATGAGTGAAAACGACAATCAATGCATAGGAACGCAAAAGGCAAAGCAAAATTCAAGTTCATCAATATACCCTCAAACATCAAAGAGTGCGCTGTTTAAATAACTAGGTATCAAGTATCAACCTCCATTTGATGAACAAATATACCTTACTAAATAAGAGAAGAAAAGAAAACAAACAAAAATATCTTCTTATGAAACCATACTTCTTCATTGCCCCTCAACGGTTGGCCTTAGCCACCCTCTCAATCTCATCCTTCTTCTTGATGGCATAACTGCAATTACAGAAAATACACAACATTAGCAACAAGGTTTTGGCCCTTTTTAGTTAATAAGGGTAAATTCCACAAGTAAGAAAGAATAAAGAGGAAACAAAAAAATTCAAAGCAATCATTGTAAAAAGATTGAAAATGTTTTCCTCACCTGTTGGATGAGCCCTTTGCAGCATTAATCAACTCGTCAGCCAAGCATTCAGCAATGGTTTTAATGTTTCTGAATGCTGATTCGCGAGCGCCGGTGGTGAGGAGATATATGGCCTGATTAACGCGACGCAGTGGGGAAATATCCACAGCCTGACGCCTAACAACACCAGCTGATCCAATACGAGTAGCATCTTCCCTTGGTCCACTGTTTGAATGGTTTCAGACAATTCAAACGGAAAGAAAAACACATCAAACATAACTACAAAGCACTTTCACCGGCAGTATTGAAAGACAACCAAATAAATTTATTTACCAACAGCAATGGGTTGAGAATTTAAGAGATCTTTGTTAGTGGATAAAAATTCACTTCTCTTAATCAAAAACCTCTATACAATCGGAAAAAATCACAAGCGATTGGGAATAATATTAACGGAATGACATGATTTTTTTGACCTTAAAGAAGCATTTGATTACCTGTTAACCACAGCATCAACAATGACTTGAATAGGGTTCAAGTCGGTCAGCAAATGGATAATTTCCATAGCATGTCTAACAATCCGCACTGCCATCAATTTTTTCCCATTGTTACGGCCGTGCATCATAAGCGAGTTTGTAAGCCTCTCCACTATCGGACACTGGGCCTTCCTGAAACGTTTGACCGAGTACCTCCCAGCAGTGTGTGGAACATAAGTGGCGTGCTTGGCCGGCACGACACCAATGTAATCAGCTAAACTAATGTCATTCACCTATAATGAACCACAGAGATGGGACAGGAGAAAAAAATAAGGAATAAGTCATCACAATATGCGTGCACAACTATGACAGAAAACCTTAATGGCAATGACTAAATGAACGAGACACAAAAACATTGTTCCAAAAATCAGACTCAACAGGGCAACAAGAAAAAAAAGTAACAAAATCTTTAAATGATCCGACTCATAAATTTGCAATTATGAGAGCTTGAATGAGCAATCAAGCAGTAGTAAACACAAGTTATATGATTGCATCAAAAGTCAAGTAACTAATTTACACAATTAAGCAATGGAAAAAAACAGATAATCAATGTATTTATGAATACCAAGCATAAGAGAATAGGTCAAATAACTACCACAATCTCAGTAACATTTCACTAGCAAGGAATAACAAGTAAAAAAAGAAAAAATTTATCACTCCATGAACCAAATTAACAAGTTTAATACAACAATACATTAAGCAAATCCGCCTGCAAAATAAACATAAATTTCTATAAGAATGTACTAACATAAGGCATTTGCAAAATAAAAACACACCATTATAGCAACATATTCTAAGAATATAGCAAAAAAATAGCAGAACTTCAAAAATTCAAAGCTAGCACGTATTATACAATTTAAACTTATATTGGGAAAAAATTAAAATCTTTATCCTATTTTACCAACAAATCTAATGAAAAAAAACATCTAAGTCGGCTTACACCAATGGGAAATTGAGATTAAGAGAGAGAGAGAGATTGAAACCTGGACATCATCAAAACTCCAGCGGTTGAAGAGCTTCACGTCAAAGTGAGGCTGTGATGGGTCCTGAACACTCACGTCCGCCATTACTGCAGAAATTTGAGTCTCAAATCACGTCAACTAAACAGAACAAACATATGGAAGAGATAAAAAAAAGAAACAACACATGAAAAGAAAATATTTTGCACGATGAACAACATTTGCTCATGAAAAATCACAATTAAAAATTTGCATTTGCTATGTTCACAAAACTAAAACTAAGAAGAAATCCATCTGAAGAAACAACAATAGAATCATTTTTCTTCATTTTCTGAGCTACCAAACGAATCGAAAACCAACGCGAAGAGAAAAGAAAAATTACTGGAAATGTCGAGAAGGACGCAATCCGCCAACGCTCAGGTTCTGAAGATGAAGGCAGCGGAGGCAAGTGTGAGGGCGAAACGAAACCCTAGCTGAAAGGGGGTTTTTAAAGTCCTAGCTGTAAGTGCGTGGGAGCGTCTCACCAGATTCTCGCCCAGTTTTCCGTTTTGATTTTTTTTTTTTTTTTAAAAAAGAAAGCAAGAGCAAAAAATAATTTTTCTTTTGTTGATTTTTTATTATTTTTAGTTTCAAATTTAATAATTAAATTTATTCTTTTTTTGGTTTTGGATTTATCGAGTCCGTTTGGTTGGAGGATTCGTTCTCTAATTCGAATCATAATTCATGATTCACTACAATATTTTTTCTCACAAAAAACACACGTAAATAAAAATGGTTCTAATCCATGAACCAAACGGGCATTCTTTTATCTAATTTAAAAGTTAAAAAAATGTTTCATGTTTCATGAATGCTATTGATTTTGATTATTTTTCTTATCATTGACATAGTATTATTCTAGACGTCTATTAATTACTTGTCATGATTATGTTTCGATCAAAACTTGGTAATTAAAATAAAACTTTTAACAGCTGGCAATAAAAATGTAAGTTTGGACAGGATTAAACGGGTCAGCTTGAAGTCGACATTGTTGGTTCAGTTCCGGCCAAAGTTCACTAAGTGTTTGGGCCGAGCCTAGTCTAGGTTTCAAGTCTGAAATCTTATTCAGGTAAGGCCGAACACATCTTTTTTAATTTGTTTCTTAAAAATACCTTATAAATTTTAAACTGTCCCGACCCTAAGTCTGTCGAGTTTTAGAACTGGAGCAGACATACTCTTCTTCTTTTATGACATGCCCAACCAAGCCCGATTAAAATAATATAAAATGTTTAATGATTGTTGGCATGAGAGTACATCAGTGTAACAAATTAAAAAATAATATTATTCATTAAATATAATTTTAATGCTAAAAAAATTTGACCTCGTGTTCTTGCTCATAAACATTCACATATAACTTCGCCTTACCTCAAGATTCTATACATGGCCTCTTTAATTTTTTTACTTTTTCTATACATGGCCTCTTTTATTTTTTTACTTTTTCTTTCACAATATATATATATATATATATAGGCAAGGTCTCTGGTCAGGCACTTGGAAAATGCCTGACCAGAACGGCACTTGTATATTTTTGTATAAAGTGTGTATATTTACAGTAAATTGTGTATATTCACACGTAAGTTGTGTATATTTACATGACACTTGTATAATTGTGCAATCGTGTATATTAACATGTAAATCGTGTATATTTACATATAAATCATGTATGTTAAGTTATAAGAAATGATAATGTATATTAATCCTCAAAACATGTTTTTTTTTATAGCAATTAGTGAACACATAGCATGAAAATATGTATATTAACTGATTTATTATATTTCATGTTAAATATACATGACTTTACATGTAAATATACATAATTTACGTATAAATATACACAATTTATACACGATTATACAAGTGTCTGACCAGAGACAATTCCATATATACACACACATATGTATGTATGTATATAATGTCAATCGCGTAAGCCGTTTATATGTTTTTTTTTTGTTTTGTTTTTGTGAATATAAATTTCCATTTATATATTCTTTTAATATTTTCGGCAGTAAGGTATTAAGCAAACAACCATTCATATACAAAATAAAAAATGAAAATCAAGTTGGGAAGAACATAGATTGGTATCACTCAATAAGGTATTATATAATCGTAATCTTATAAGAAATTTTCTGGTTCCTACATTTTCTCCTCTTTTCTTTTTTTTGACTGCCATGCGTAAGAAGGCACACAAAAAGGATGAAAACCTTGTAAACCAGTTTGGGATTTGGCTTACCACAGACCAAAACTAAAAATAAAGAAGCATTCATCTTACACATGGGACAGTTATCTTAAAGCAGAATTGCGAGTAATGAACAAGGACAGTTATCTTCAAGCAAGCAAAAACAATTGATAAACCCAAAGTTTAGTTCTTTTCCACCATTGACAAATCTAATTCATTCCACACATAAATAGTCTCAAAAACTCAAGTTTGTCATGCTAATAATACCAAACATAAAACTAAGAAGACATGGACTGATAATGGCCTCCCCCTAAATTCACCAACACATAGTCGTAAACAAAACTGAGAAAAGAAGGTTGCAATCAAACAACAGGAAAGACCCATCAACGCAACCTCCTTGCCTCTCTCTCGGACTCAAGCAAGGTGAGAATGTCGCCTTCCCTCACCGGCCCTTTGACATTCCTCATAATGAACCGGTTCTGGTCATCAAGAAACTTGACTCTCACTTGAGTCACCTGTCCTCTTGAGCCGGTACGGCCCATGACTTTCACCACCACAGCATGCTTCACTTGGGACTCCATTCTGCACAAGAAAACCGAAGAAGCAATTTAAAAAAGGGCAAAAAAACAAAAAAAAACAAATCTTTTAAACAATTCTTTGAGAACTTGAGTTAACAAGTGAAAAGATTCATGTGAGAGAAAAACATTGTAATAGAAAAGGTTGAATTATAATTTTTTTGAGAGAAAATACTATAGCAAACTTGAGTTGTGATTTGAATTAGCAAAACTGAACGGCGCCTTAGATAGCTCAAACGCCATTTCAAGATACCAAAAATTTCAACTTTAGTAAGACAATCATAAAATACGCCTACTCATTAGAGCTTCTATGACCAGATCTCAGTGCAAAGCCAATAGAGATTAAAGGCAGTTCTTAACTATGGAAAGGCCACAGAAAAAAAACCCAAACTCCTGACTCATTAGAGACTTAACTATAAATTGGGTTAGTTCTTACATCTCAAAAGCATAAAAACAGAACACTGCCATGTAAATTTAAAAACAAAAGGCAAATGCCAATATGCTAAACCGCGGTCGATTACACTATGACTCGGGTCATAGCATATCGAGAAAGATTGTCATTTTGTTTGAGACAAAGTTGCTGCTGGGTTTGTCAAGCTTATGCCTATTCGGTCACAACATCAATTAGATAATATGTTTACCAAGGCTTTGCCTGCCAGTTCTCTGTTTTCTTTACTTTCCAAGATGGCAATAAAAGACATTTATAGTCCATCTTGAGGAGGAGTTTTAGATATTAGTTAGTTTGTTACAATCTGTTATAGAGTTTGTTATAAAGGATGTTAAACGTCTGGGTCAGTTATAACTTAAGGCTTGTATATAAAGCTAAGCTTGTATCATTCATTCATTCAATATACAGAGAAAATCCATTTTTCCATTTTGTATTTCTCTGCGTAATATTTAGCCACAAAATTTCCATTCTTTTCAAAATTGCAGCAATTATTCATAACCATGAAGAATTTTGACGGCAGACACATAACTACATTCTCAAAATAATAATAATAATAATAATAATAATAATAATAGTAATAAAATAAAATAAAATAACGAAATAAAAAACAGAGGAAAAGATTACATGAAAATTCTCACCAATAACACAAACAAGAAACGGAATTTTACTCACGCAACGACAAGTAAATTAGGGAGAAAAAAGTATTAATCTGTATCGTCGAAAACAAAGTACTTTCTCTACTGCCAAACAAGTCTAGAACGTTCATAAAGACATAAATCAGCAACAAAAGAATATCAAATCAGCCACAATAACAGCAAAATCAAAAGAAAAACTAAAGGAAAAAAAGCATTAAAGAATCAAAGAATTTTGATTAGGGATCGAAAATCGAGACGAACCTGGTCGATTTCGCTGCGCTCTCGCTGAGTTCAGAGGTGGCGATGACGAAACCGGTTTGGGAGTATGTCTGTATAGTTCGTGGTTGGACTAGGGTTTGATTGTGATCAGCTGCGTGGCGCCCTACGCTATGTCCTACACAAGCCCTCCAATTGGCATGTGACGTGTGGGCAGTTGAGTATCTGATTTCGACTTTTAAGGGATAATTATTAAACTTTAACACTGATACCCTGTATTTTGTCGAAATTACAGAAAATTACTTTCCCTAAAGAATAATCTCATTGGTGCATCTGAATTTTAGAATCATTCCACTTTACTCCTTAAAATTTGAAAACCCTCACTTTAGCCGTTAAATTATAAATTTTATCACATTTCAGCCAGTGACGGAGCCAGCATTCAACCTAAGTAGGATGTATATTGAATTTTTTATAACAAATAATAAAAGAAATATATATGCGATATTTTATAATAACTACCAATTACATATATGAGAATAAAGATTAAAAGTGTAAGGTTGAGTGGGGCATGTATAAAATATTAAATTTAGTGGGGGTAAAATAAAAATACTATAGGATTTTTAGGGAAAAAAATATAAAATTAAGAAAGTCAGTGGGAGTAGCTGCCCCCATTAGATAATGAATAGCTCTGCCCCTGATTTAAGCCATTTTATAAGAATTGATATTACAATCATACGGAAAAAAGAGGGTGTTAAACGAGACCATATAGTTTATCCGTTTATTTTTAACAAAAATTCAAATAGAAAGGTCACGTGATTACATTGCTTTTTTTTTCTATCTGTTTTTAATATAAATTACAATAAAAGAGATTAAGTGGGAACAATTCAAAATTTAGAGAGTAAAGTGACAATTTTTCAAGTTGAAGAGGCAAATTAAAAATAACCCTAAGGTTCAAGTGACAACAATAATAAACCTCGTTCATTTCACCGATTTGAGTTTTCAGTTTTAGGTTTTTACAGTAAAAAGCTCTCAGAAAATGTCACATCTCAGCTCGAATTGAAAACTCGAATCCGCAAAGTGAACGAGGTCATAATAATTCTAGCATCAATAACTCCACCTTCATAGTTAAGACAACACCTGCATTGTTAGTTGACTATGAAGTTTTAACTGTTTAACTACCCATCTTTTATTCTACTTAAAAGTCTCCCCTTGACCCAACTCACACACAAGTTACTATGTCCTCAGGTTCGAGCCTATGACTTAAAGATCCTCACCCCCACCCACTCACCGCTGGGCTAGCCCCACTGGGTAACACCCCTCCCTGTGTTGACGAATGTGTTCAATTACATATGGGGCTTTTAAAAGACACTTTTTCATTTTTATTTTAGCTTTGAAAAATGAAGATAGGTAAGCATTATACATGTATGATCATGTTTTTCACTCTAACTAGCTTTGTAACGTACTCCGTACGTATTGTCGTTTTAAAGATACGTGAAGAATTTATTATTTACTGAAGAATGAAAAATTCATTTATACAATTACTTAAGAGTTTTTGAATTTATTTTAAAAAGAAATGTGTGTAAAGATAACGGTTAACAAAAAAAGTTAACTATGGAAACATTTGAAGAAAATTATTTTAACCAACCAAAAATAAAATAGAAACACATGTGAAAAATAAAGAGACGAAAGTAAAAAAAATGAAAAAGAAAAAAAAAGAAGTGAATGAGTTGTCACTTGGTAACCCCATAAAGAAGAGCTTTAGCTCTTTTATGTATTGTTAAATAATAGAAAAAGTGATTATTTTATTTATTTATTCCTCAAAAATCCATTTTAATCTTAAAGAAGTTTTATCATATTTATTTTAAAGGACTAACCTTTCAATTTATTTTTTAGTGATATGTACCCTTTATTTTGTAAAAATTAATTTTAAAAATTCTACCTAGATTCAAAATTAATTTTTTAAACAATAAATTCTAGGATTAATTTACCCAACAATTAGTATTAATAGCAAACATTAAATTCTTAAAATAATTATTTAAAAAATATTCATAATTTAAAAACCTTAAAACATCAAACAGTTTTATAATATTGTCCCTCTGACGATCTCGAGAAAAGTATCCCCAAACCATCATCGAATCTCCCCAGTGTAAGCCCTTTTGTGTTGAGAAGTGCAGACAACCTTTTGTCTATTGCAAACACTCCTTTTTGTGACCATGCAGTCTAGGTAGAGTCACGATTGGGCTCGAAATGAGTAGGAAGGGGCAGGAAGTAATTGTTTAGGATTTCTTTCTTTTTTTAAAAGAACTTAAAAAACTTTCTTTGTTCCATAAAATCCATAAAGTAGAAATGATTCATGTGTGCTCCATAAAATTAGAAATTTATGGACTTGATTTAATCTTCAAAGTAGAGACAAGAAAATTTCAGTTACCAGATGAAAAATCAAGCCAAATGTAAAAAATATTCTTTAAATTACTCTAAATAGTGCAAGAGACTCTATAATGTAATATTAGAGAGATTGTAATATGTCTAATGATTAAGATAACAAAATTTTGAGCGCTAAAATACGTTTAGAGACAGTTCCGGGAAGCAAAACTGATGCAACGCATATGGAATGCACTACAGTGGGTTAAACAACACCAAACAAGTGTTGTCTATGCATCCAAGGGCACTGCGTGTTGTAGTGCGCAAGAAGCGCGTTGCATTATATCTATGCAACCCTCCGAGGCTTGTTGGCACTGGTGTGTGAGCTACAACGGGAAAAACATCCGCTACAGTGCCCATACTATAGAAATTGCATTCAAAAATGTGTTTTGTGATCTGAAACGTTTCAAACTGTTGCAACCATTGGTGATATGTTTTCACACATACCTAAACACCTATTAGCAATAGATATAACTGTTGTAATATATGTATTCATCCATGAAGAGATACCTTTACAATGCAAAGGTACCTCTATGTGAATGATTGTGATGTTTGAATAGGGTGTGTTCATTCATGAAATAGCACTTCTATCTTTTATAATCTCAAGAATATTTACAGACTTAATTCATGTTCTAGAGCACAATATTATTGCTAGATATTGTGTTTAACAGTTTGTTGTATCTTGAGGGCAATTTGCAACAGAAATCCATTAGCAAACTTTGAGAAGTGAGTGTGAATAAAACCTTAAAGGAAAGTATTCCTATACGCCTCAAAACCTCTTGTTTTCTGCACTCTTTTCATCATCTACACTCAAATTCTCTAACAATCTTTAAGGTTTTATTACTGCAATGGAGGTTGAAAAGAACATGATGTCTTTCCTCAATCCGAGTGTCCAACTTGATCGTTTTGATGGTACCAATTTCACCCGCTGGAAGGAAAATTTGTTCTTCCTTCTCACTGTGCTCAGGATCGCCTACGTGCTTGATGTGAAGTTGGAGCCACTTCAAAAACTGAAGGAAGGTGATTTTGAAGAATTGAAGGCTGCAAGGAAGAAGCATGAAGATGATGAAGTCATGTGCGAGGGTCACATTCTTATAACACTCTCTTTGATAGGCTCTACGATCTCTACAACTCGATGGAGTCTCCGGCGGAGATATGGAATGCCCTTGAATACAAATACAAAACTGAGAAGAAAGGTATAGACAAATTCTTTATCTTAAAATATCTTGAATTTGTCATAGTTGATACCAAGTCTGTTCTTGATCAAATACATGAATTGCAAGTCATTGTTACTAAGCTTCATGAAGTAAAAGTGGATATTTCTGAATCATTTTAAGTGGGGACCATTATTGCTAAATTATCCCAAAGTTGGAATTGTTATAGAAAGAAACTCCTTCATAGGAGAGATGACATAACCTTGGAGGAATTAGAAAAATACTTGAGGATTGAAGAAGAGACTAAGTCTCATGATCCTAAAGGTAAGATTATAGATTCCTCTATGATTAATGTCGCCGAAGCAAGTAAGTTTTCTAAGAATTTCAAAGTCAATAATGACAAGAAGTTCAAGAAGTCTAGTAATGGCCAAAATAAATTCTCCAAAAATTACTTCTTATGTGGAAAGAAAGGCCATCGCCAAAATGACTATAGATACAAGAAGAAAAAAGAAGAAGCTAGTACCAACAAAGCCAATGTTGTTGAAGAGAAATTCGAAGACATGTGCTATCTTCTCGGAGATGCAAATTGACATAATTATCGAAATCAACATTGCTGCAACCAAATCCTCTGAATAGTGACTTGATTCTGGTGCTATAATCCACGTTTGTAATGACAAAAAATTATTTTCATCATACAAAGTGGAAAAGGAAGGACAATTGGTTCTCATGAGAAATAATGATGCAGAGATGGTTGCCGGCAAAGGTGTGGTCGAGGTTAACTTTACTTCCAGGAAGAAGGTTACTTTGAACAATGTTCTCATGTTCCCGATATTAGAAAGAATCTTGTATTCACTAGTCTTATGTGTAAGAATGGGCTTAAGATTGAACTTGAGGGCAATACTTGTATTGTATCAAAGAATGAGACTTTTGTGGGAAAGGGATATTCTTATGATGGCATGTACAAAATTAGTATTGATAATAAAGATGATATGTATTCTCTTTATATTGTTGATTCTTATGATGTTTGACATGCTTGCTTAGCACACTTAAATTTTACATTTTTGAAATATATGTTTAAACACAGGTTGATTAATTGCAAAGATGTTAAAAATAATAAGTGTGAAATTTGTATTCAAGCAAAGATGACTAAGAGTACGTTTGGTTTATGTATTTAGAATCATGATTCAGAACTATTCTTGTTTTACGTGTATTTTTTGTGAGAGAAAATACTGTAGAGAACCATGAATCATGATTCAGAATCAGGGACGAATATAGGAAACAAACGTCCCCTTAGAACCCTTTCCCAGAGTCGAACAAAATACTCAAATATTGGATATTATTCATATCGATATTTGTGAGTATAATTGTGACGACCCTCCTAGGTGGCCGTCACTGTAGCTGAAATTAACTTGTACTTACTGGGATTTCTTAAATTTTGCGAAACAATTTTTTTAAAATGCTACTTAGAATGCTGCAGCATTTTTTTTTTAAAAAAACGCTGTAGGGATGCTGTAGCATTCTTTTTTAAATGCTTTAGGAATACTGTAGCA